TTTTCCTGATGACATGTGATATGGAGCATCTTTTCATATACTTATTTCCCATCTGTATATCTTTCTGTTGAGGTGGCTACTAAGATCTTTGGACCTTTTTAAAATTGAATTGTTTGTTTTTTTTCTTTTAAATGGGAATATTAATCCTCAGTTAACATGTTTGTTATTAGGATAGGAGTAATATATAGAACAAATTACATAGCACATTATCTGCCACATGGATGGTGCCCAAGACAAAGTAACTGTTATTTTTATTCATATTTATATACATAACTAGAGGCCTGGTGCATGAAATTTGTGCACTCGGGGGGTTCCCTCAGCCCGACCTGTGCCCTCTCGCAATCCAGGAGCCCTTGGGGGATGTCCAACTGATGGCTTAGCCCTTAGCGCTACAGCAGAAGTGGGAGAGACTCCCACCACCACCACTGCCCATGCCAGTCATGAGCCCAGCTCAGGGCTTCACACTGACTACCAGGGGGCAGCTCCTGCATTAAGCATCTGCCCCCTGGTGGTCATGTACATCATAGTGACCACCATTCGGTCGATTTGCATATTAGTCTTTTATTTTATAGGACTAGTGGCCTGGTGCACGAAATTTGTGTGGGGGTGTGGGGGATGTCCCTCAGCCTGGCCTACATCCTCTCCAATCTGGGACCCCTCAGGGGATGTCCAGCTGCCAGTTTAGGCCCGATCCCCAAACCCCGGCAGTCGGACATCCCTCTCACAATCTGGGACCTGATCGCCCCCAACTACCCTCCCCTGCCATCCTGATCTCCCCTAACCACCTCTGCCTCAGCCCCACAACCATGGCTTTGTCCAGAAGGATGTCCAGAAGGTCTCCCGGTCTAATTAGCACATTACCCTTTTATTAGTATAGATAGTATACATAATAATTAGTCTATTAATTAATAAACCACCTGAGAGCTAAAAGAGAATGTTGGGTTTTGAGATGGTCCAGTACATACCTTCCTTTTTTCTTACATTTTTCCCCTTTTTGTTTTTCATAAATCCTGTATTCTCAGTTAATTATAAAATGTGAAGAAAAAAAAAGAGTAACTTAGATGGTAGATCTATATACTTTTAAATCATGTTTGGAGAAAGTGGGATATTTATACAGGTGAGTTGCTTTCCTAAAACTGGGTTCCAATTTAGACCTATGCACTGAGTTGCAGGAGGTGCTAGGTCCATGGAAGTGACGAACCTGGGACAGCTTCTCACCTATGCTGCCCATCTGGCAGCTAAGCCTATCCTATGATCAAGATCCATTGAGTAGTTGAGCTTCCTCTAGGACATTGTTCATGAGAAGAAAGGGCTATACTACTCATGCCCAGTTTTGAGTTCAAATTTGCAGATAAGGCATTTTCTCCTTGGAGAGGAACCAGTGAGGGGCAAGAAGTGTGGTGCTCCTGGATCCCAACATGCTAAAGAAATGATAAAGTGGGGAGAAGTATTTACCTCAAACAGTGGGTCACCCTTCACTTTAGGTTTGTTGTTCAGCCAAGCATGCTACTGGGAGTCACAAATGATCATATTTATCTAAGCTCTAATCATAAGTTATGTCAGTACTAAGATTAGATCATAGGGTAAGGCAAGAAATGCTGATAATTTAATGTTCAAGTGAATTAAATTAATATGACAAACAAAAATATGAGAGCTCTTCAAATTTTAAGGAAAAGTGATGAAAGATGAGCATTCACTGTGCTGCACCCTTGAAGCTTCAGTTATGAGGTTTTAAGACAAAAATCACTGTATCAAACAGCAGATGAAAAGCATAGATTCTGGAATAGTCTTGAATAATTATTTGGAGTAGCCAGGGATCATTCTAGTGCAATGATTAATTGTACTGTAAAATTACAACTCTGGCCCTAGCTGGTTTGGTTCACTGGATAGAGTGTCCAACTCGGGACTGAAAGGTCCCAGGTTCGATTCCGGTCAAGGGCATGTACCTTGGTTGCAGGCACACCCCCAGTAGGGGGTGTGCAGGAGTCAGCTGATCAATGCTTCTCTCTCATTGATATTTCTAACTCTCTATCCCTCTCCCTTCCTCTCTGTAAAAACTCAATAAAATATATTTTTAAAAAAATTACAACTCTGCTTCCTCCTGCCATAAAATTTATTCAAAGCCTGATTGTCTAAAGGCTCAGGTGTGCTCAACTCAGCTGTGCAGCCATTGATCTTGCATCGATGTGTGTTGGCACTTCATCCAAGTCCCACTTGTTGTCTTTAGCCTGGTCACACGGTCCAGGTAGAATTCAACAAAGTGAATGAATTTGTTTGAGTCATGCAAGTGGGAAAGGCATAGAAAAAGTCTTGTGACTAGTGACCAAGATTTGAACTGAGCAAATGACTGAATTTTGAAGACTGGACTGATTTTGGTTTGTGATGATGAGTGATTCCTATGACCAGCACACAGCCCCATTATCCTTGAAGGCAAGAGGCCCAATGCCTAAGCCAGGTGCACAGTAGGGACAGGAATAATAGGAATCATATGCAAAATTCTCTTGGGAAAGAGAGAACCTTTTGGTTATTTAACTTCTTAGGAGATTTTGGCTGAATTTTGATTTTCAAAGCATCACAAATAATTGTGCAACAAAACTTACTGTGATTTTGGGCACTTAGCAAGTGATGGACTGGCCTTGGGCCAGGTTCATGTTTGACCCTGAGGTATAAGGAAATAAAAAGCAGAGTTTGGCTTTTATGAAAGATCTATAAATGTTAAAATTGTCTTGTGTTTCTGAGACATCATTAAGAAGACTAGAACAAGTAGAATATTCTCAAAACAAATAACAGTTGAGAGTAAAAATGCAGTTACTAGGGAATTAAAATGCATGTTTCTCTTAATGAGCCCGATCATGCTTTCACTGTGTTTATTGACAGCTAGTTGTCTTGAAAATAGCTTATGGTGTCATCTGAGACAATCTTGGAACCAGTTCAATGAGGACTTCTTACACTGCAGGAGAAACAGACTCAGTGGTTGGGCATTTATCTATTTCTTCTTAATTTCCATTGTATTTTTTGATTCATGCAACTTTTATAGACAGTGTCTATAAATAGATACACAATAATAGAAATCTACCAACTTTTAATTGAGGATAACCGCACATAGATCACAATAAACATCCTACTTTCGAACTTCAACACTTCTTTACTGACATTGCTCAAAAGCAGCATTTTCTCAGCACTAACATGACACACATTTTTTCCTTCCTCATAAATGCAACATGAGTGTTTGGTCGGCTTCCCAGTGTGAAATGATTTACAGAATTGGCCATGGTAGAGTTGCAGGCCCCCGGAGAGCTCCTTTGCAGAGCGTGGAGGACATTAGCCTTTTCTGAAGCCTGGTTAATAATCCACCCAGCTGACATCCCAGTGGTTCTGTGGGCAGGCATACACTAGACATTTTATGAGTTTCCAAATAAATATGTTTGACTCAACAAGGAAAAGCTTTGATAAGGAGAAAGCATTAATCTTCCATGATTAGCCTAATCTTTTAAATAAACTTGCAAATTAATAATGCAGCAAGATAATGAAGTAAACGTGTTTTTTCTTTTTTTGGTAATTTTTATTATCTATTGATTATCAAAGAATGTCTTATCAGTTATTATGCTCTATGTATTTAATGAAATTGAGGATGGTTTAAACATAGAATGTTGTAACAGACTAAATTACAACTGCAACAAGTACAGTGCTTGACCACTTTGTTAATGAAAATTCAAAAATCTGCCAGCTGTGACAGGTCACTCTTGCCTGAAGATCTTGTCCCTCAGCCTGGGCCACCCAGAATATAACCTTGAACCCAGGGAAAAGCAGGGGAGTCTGGAACAGCTGTTACAGAACACAAGTGTTTTAGTTGAAGCCAGAAAGAGTATAAAAAATAATGGATCAGGCCAGAAGCAAAGATGTGTTTGGGGCAACTGTGTCATGGGGTGCACCAACACTTGGGCTTTAGAAATCTCATACTATACAGTGCAAAGTCCCCCCAAGCCTCCTTAATTGTCAGGGTGACGTATGATATTTTATACTCTTTGTTTTATTAATCCAGCATATTTTGTTTGCACATTTATTGCAGGTCATATGTTTAAAATACATTATTGTTCATTCTTATGAGCTCATAGAAAGTAGCGCTCTTTATATCCACTGTCCAGATGACAAAATGGCAGAGAGAGGCTAAGTAAATATCCTCCAAGATCACACAGATGATATGTAGAATTAGATGATAATTCTACCAGGGATGTTTGCCTTATCTGGCCAATCTCTCTGAGTCCACTTGGGCTTGCATGAGAGATGCCGAATGCCGTCTACTCCAGAGAACCTAGAGAAGCTGGTAGTCTTCCAAGCGGTGATTTGAAAAGCAAGGAATTGTTTGAATAGCAGAAAAGTTTTTTTAAAAAACAAACAAACAATGACTTTTCCTTTTTTTTTTTCTTTTTTAGTTTAATATTTAAACTAGTTACCTTCTATAGAGTGCAATTCCTCTTTGGGTAGTGTTATTACACAAGGTTGAACACATCCAAGATGGCTCTGCTACTCCTGGGTTAGTTTAAATGCATAAAGGATGAAACCCAACTGGCTTTGGCTACTATTTAATTTCAGACTTGGCTATTTCTTGATAGAACTGCAAACTTTAAAGTATTATTGTATTCTAGTTTAGTTGGTAGAGTCCTAGGAGGCAACAAAGATTTCCAACTCACTCATGTGGAATATGGTGTGAGAAGCTGCTTCCTCTGTGATCCAGAGCATAAATTCCAAGTATTTCACTTTCCACTGTGAGGTGGCAGTTAGGCCCCAGGAGGTCTACCCCCCATGGTGCTGATAGCTTCATTGATAATTTACCAAGTTTACCTTTCCCCACCAGTAGGAACACTAGGGTCAGAGCTTAACCTCAGAAGGTGGGAAGGGTATGCTTGTAAGCAAAGGTATACAGGAATGCTTGGAGAGCTGACTATGGCTCCAATTGGAAGTGTAATTTGTGTTTTCTTTCCTTTCCCTATTTTTTCCAGTCAGGCATGATAAGAACACAAGAAGCAGATTACTTCTTAAAGCCACTTCCTTCCCACCTAGCAGGGCAACTCAATGACTCTGCCGGGGGTGGGCCTCCTTCCCACATACTGTACAAGAGATCCACAGAGCCACAGGCTCCGAGGGGGCGCCAGGCAATGATGGTCCAGAGGCAGCGGGAGCTGGAAAATCACCACCTCTTCTACCACGAAAATCAAAATCTGCAAGGTGGCTTTGACCTCGGGCACCCACAAAAGCAGCATTTCTGTGGAAGACGCAAGAAATGTATGTAAGGGCGATTCTCTTCATGTGTGTAATGATTTTAACGTTTATATAAGCCGATGGAATATTTTTAATTTTCATCATATTATGCCTGTTCCCAAAGTGACGTGTATTAACTGTCCTTACTAAACTTTAGTGACAATTCCAAAGACAGTCCATTATCTGCATGTTCAGTATAAAAGCTCTCTCCATGATGGATAGATAATGGTAGATGTTTTCATTTTTTTAAAAAAGCTGTTCCCTGGACAGATTAAATGATGCACTGCTGAGGAATACCGAATCTACCAGACATCTTCAAAAGAACTCTGGCATGTCTACTCAGTAATGCTATATTTTTGAGGTCTAGATTTATTAAAGCCCA